GAGGGAGAGAAAGAGGGAGAAAGAGGGAGAGAGAGAGGGAGAAAGAGGGAGAGAAAGAGAGAAAGAGGCTCGTTTCTTTTTACTTCGTCTCAAATCTGAACCTGGCCGCCGGTCAACCTCAGCTAGCACGCATGCTAATGGCACGGAAACTACCGATAGTGTCGAGATGTCAGTGATGGAGTGAGTGAAAGAGGGAGAGAGAGAGACACACAATCTCTTTTTTTATTATTCTGTTGTTTGCCCAACTTAGAAAGCACCGGCTGAGACAGTAAAGTGAGGGTTTGCAGCCCGGGAGAAGCAGTCCATGCGGTGCAAGTGCTCCTGTCGCCTCACCGGGTTTTTGCTGTTATGAATCCTCTTTGCTGCTAAATATTCACTTCCGTTTTCTTTTTATTGTTTCTTATCTGCCCCTTCTTGTTGAAACCCGGCCGGCTGCCCTCTCCTAACCACCCAGACCGACTCCCAACTCTGGATTTACCCTACCAAGGGGGGCAAAACAACTTTTTTTTTTTTTTTTTTTAAATTCCTAGTCGGCTAAAAACGAGTTAGCCGACTAAAAACCAGAGGAAAGTTTCTTCTGTGCAGTTTCTCTCCGCTATGTCTGGAAGTGAGGAGGACCGAGATGAGTACGGAGCCCCGGAGGACCGGTTAATGCACGGTAAGACAATGCTCGGTGTGCTCGTGTTCACGCTGCAGCTTTCAGCAGATGTTTTCTGACATTGATATCGATCATGTTTCGTTAGCAGCCGCGGCTAACTACCGGGGGGAACCTAACGTTAGCTCCGTTTAGCTCCGGGGTTTTTTTTTTTTCTCCTTCCGCCGCCTCGTTTTTAAATACATAAAAACACTATTTTATTACCCACGACCACAGCCAGAGGTGGTGTCGGTCGATAGCTGCTTTGTCGTGAAGTCACGTCGACTCACCGGCGGGTTCCCGGGGCCTAACGTTAGCCAGCTACCGGTATTTTCTTTTTACGTGTCGATGACAAGATGGAGGCAGCCAGTTAGCTTGGAAGCTGGCGGATGACGTTCAGGAGCTTTCCCCCTCCTCATGGTCGGTGCGGGGGGGGGCCGGGGGGAGGAAAGTACATATAACAGCTAGTAGTGAATAAATATCTAATCTATAATCGTACCTTATCGATTATGTTGTCAGATGCGCGTTAAGTTTTTGCGGGTTTGATGCGACCGAGCGACGACTGTTTACGGTTTGTGTGTGGTTCCGCGCGGCGCACACGGCGGAGACAGTGAGAACAAATAGTCCTGTAAGTTGGCTGTAAGTGCTGAGGTCGACCCAAAAGACGGCGTTTAATTCTTCAAATGGCAGTAACGTTTTACAGATGTGACAGGTGATGTTGTGTAAACATATAGTGCTGAACAGAAACACTGCAGAGAAGATGGAGATGGGTCATTTACATTTTTGGATATAAATGCAGCTTATTATTTAATGTGATTGATCTCAGGATATCTGATCTCAAACACTGCGACTGGAAATGTATATGGATTCAACTAGATTATGTCGAGTTACAAGTAGAAGCTGCAACTGATGATTATTTTCACTATCGATTCATCTTTTTATTCTGTAAATCGTCAGAAAACAATGTCATCACAGGTGTTTTTCATCAGCCGACAGCACAAAAAGTCAGAGATAATCATTTTACAGTGATGTAAAACTAAAACACAGTGAGCCAGTGAGAACAAATAGTCCTGTAAGTTGGCTGTAAGTGCTGAGATCGACCCAAAGACGGCGTTTAATTCTTCAAATGGCATTAACGTTTTACAGATCTGACAATATCTATTGACAATATTGTGCTGAACAGAAACACTGCAGAAAAGATGGAGATGGAGGGGCGTAATTTACATTTTTGGATATAAATGCACCTTATTATTTAATGTGATTGATCTCAGGATATCTGATATCTGATCTCAAACACTGCGACTGGAGATGCATGTGGATTCAGGTAGAAGCTTGGTTTGAAACTAGATTAGGTCGAGTTACAAGTAGAAGCTGCAACTGATGATTATTTTCACTATCGATTTATCTTTTTATTCTGTAAATTGTCAGAAAACAATGTCATCACAGGTGTTTTTCATCAGCCGACAGCACAAAAAGTCAGAGATAATCATTTTTACAATGATGTAAAACAAAAAACACAGTGAACCAGTGAGAACAAATAGTCCTACGAGTTAGTTTTGGTGCTAAAATCAACTTAAAGACTGCATTTAATTCATCAAATAGCACCAACCTTTCACAGATCTGACAGGAAACGCGGTGCAATCAGAAACTCTGCTGAAATGCACTATATTGTTCTGAACAGACAATTTAATTAGATTCAGAGTTGTCATCTTATGATCTTAGACACTGCGACTGGAGATGCATATGGAGTCAGGTAGAAGCTGTGGTTTAAAACTAGATCAGGTCGAGTCACAAGTAGAGCTGCAACTAATGATTTTAACCATTGATTAATAGTCAAATCTATAAATTGTCAGGAAACAATGTCATTACAGTTTCCACAGAGTCCAAGTTGATCCTTCAGATGTTTTAGTCCAACAAAAGCCCAACATTAATTTTACAATGATATAAAAACAGAAAACACGACATGAATTTCACCATTTGTGCTTAAAAATAAAAAAGTATAATGTCAAGTTTACAAGAAACAAGTTTTAAGCGGGCCCCAAAGGTAAGATGGTGTTGTAACCTCTGTAAGATCATCTTAGACCCAAGATGCTTTCAGGAAACAGTGTTTAACATGTAGAAGACACATGGCAGTGTTAACATGGAGTCAATGTGAGCTCTCTGGGTTCCTTTACAGACAGCTCCCTCTCCTTTATATGACCTAAAAAGCTCATCACATTAAAGCCTTTTCCGTACCAGGTGCATCTTAATGGCAGCTTGCCATTTACTTTTTACCATAGCCAATTACATTAATAGGCTCTGATGCCATACCACTTCACTGTGGAGCCACTGAGGCAGCGCCAACCACTGGGCTGAGCGCTCCTCTGTCATAAGGCCTGCAGGAGGGTGTTGGAAATCATGATGACTAATCAGTTGTAAATGACAGTTTTAACCACTAGAGCAAAACTGATTTGACTCTCATCTCTTGAGGCAACGTATAAAATGGGGCAGTGATCAAAAGCAATAGCTTATCCCGTCGACTAGTCCTGGTTCTCAGGTCTCCTCCTGGTTTTTGTTCCAGCCAACTTATCATGGAGCACTTAATATCCTTTGACACCATGTGAGTGTGGTCGCATGGCAGGGGATTCATTCTCCTTCTCA